CTAAAAGAAACCTATAATTATTCTTTAGTACAACATTTATTTAAAATATGATTAGTATGCTCTATAAATGTAACTTTATATGCTTGTAATTTTTTTGTTACATGAAATGAAATATAAAGAATTAAATCCTTTTCAACAAAATCCATTTACTTTAACTTTAACGACACCAAAATTAACTTAAATTGGTTCCATTTTGGTCACTTAAGAGTACCGGATAGGAGTCATAACAATTTCCATGATCAAAAGTGCAAAAATATTTCGCACACCAGCCAATGAACATGAAAAAGGTTGACCTCAGTGTCGTGGCAATATGTCCTGGAAAATGTCATCTAACGTTGTCCGTGGTTAACCAACGAGGAGCAGTCGCTTTGCCAAGGGTTAAACGGGTTAACCCCGTGCTAAAAACAAAAAGCACTATAAAAGCAAAAGTAAAAGAAAAAAAAAAGAAATCTAGAAAAATGGGAGTTGGCAGGAGACGACGGCAAGGACGAGTATATTTGGCACATTAAAACAAAAGGATGCCGTGTGCTGGGCAAATAGACAAAGGACATGCCCGGACACATGCGAGGCGCCAAATCAAGCCTTGATTTATGGCCCAGCCAAAGGATTGCCAAAGGAATAGGAGCTCACAGTTGAGCGGAGAAAAAAGTGCACAAAACTAACATTAGCACCCTTGTAAATGTGTAAAACCGCCAGGAAAACACACTCTCCTGCACATCTAGGGTCGCCAACAAATCATCGGGATCGTAGGAATCCGAATCGCAAAAAAAAAGGATTCCTACATCCTGGACCGAAAGAAAACCGGCATCTATTAGATGCGCCACTCGGGCCGGGCCTGCCCCGAGAGAAACAACAAAAAATAAATAACCTCTGGTGATAATTTATTTATTTCGGATTATTTATTGCACATACATCATAATTTTCAGGACTCGCCGCCGATATATATATTTTATTCCTTAAGCAGTCCCGTGTTCTCGGTTTCAGGTCTCCAAAAGATGCAAGAATTATAACTTTTAACAATGAAGGATGCGCCATAAATTAAAAATCCAAACTTAAAAACGCAACAATAAATACACGGCTTCGGGGGTAGAGAGTGAGATTGAATGAGAAGTCCTGGCGGCAATCGCCAGGAACAGGACATGCAGTTGATTTATTTCTCTTCTATGGAAAATCGCAGAGCATTGAGGCCGGATGAGAGTGAGCGAGAAAGGCTCCTCACACCGAAGACGAAGGACTCAAAGAAACGGAAGTATTTATTTCATAATCGTTATGATGTAATGAAGAAAACGGCGACATTGCCGAAGGATTAGGCGGGACAGCTGCAATAGATCATTTATACTTTCAATAAGGATAAATATCTGCATAATTAAAAGAGGTATTAAACCTGAGAAGAATCTATACCTATTAGGTAATAAATATTTTATTGATTTATTAATATTATTATTTTTTAAAATTAATAATTATAGGTCTTCAGTCCCCTTTACTTCAAAGTTCCCTATATATAATCCCACAAATATTTAATTTATAAACCTTTCCTTTGGCAAATCAATCTGTACATCTTTAACCCAACCAAAGTGTGAATGATACAAGAAAACTGCGCAGGAAAATAAAGGACGAATCCGTATAAACCGAAACACATCCTCGACATCAAATACGTGGCGCATATTAAATTCTTATAAAATCGGCACTCGCTGAGGGATGCTCGTTCTTTGAAGGGGATCCGTGGCGAAGGACGAAGGCAGGATATAGATAGACTAGGGCGCTATTGTTAAAAGTTCGAGGCATTTTTATGGTACTCTGTACCGCCATGGATATGAGAGCTCCTGCTGCGATATTAAAAACTTGTTGCTAATAAAAAGATTCGGGATACGGTTGTCGATGTTCATGATGTCTATGCTGATCGTCATTAAGTGCAGTGGCAGATGGATGCTGTTGTTGATGGTGACATCAATGACATTTTGTTGCGGTTCAATAAATTTTGAAATCCCTTAAAAAAAATACATAGAGAAGAAAAACACTGAGGGAAATATGAGTGCCTGAGGCATGAAAAAGATTTAGCTTAAAGTTGGCTTAAGTTCATAAATTCATAGTTATTGCTTATTAAGTTTTGAAAGAATTAATTTAAATTCAGAATTTGTAAAGTTTCGATCTTATTTAAAGATATGTAACAATTCAATTTCAGATGAGAATAAACATTTTGATTTCTTCATCTTTTTTAAAACTTTTATTGAATAGAAAGAAATAGATAGTTTTCTGCTTTTTGTAAAATCTTTTAATGGGTTAGTTTTGCTATATAATTTTCAATATTTCAAGCTCATATTAATAACTATAAATATAATTTTTCTCACTGTTTTTACTCTTATATTCAGCTGTTCGTAGCGTTTAACAACCTAAGTAGGCTTTGAACTCACTGCGCTTTTAATTGCTATCGAGGGCACACTGGTAAAGTGTTAATTATCATAAAATTTAATAACTTCCAATAAAATATTTGAAAAATATATTTTGATTAAAATGCAAAGTACATATTTATATTTTTAAAAGTGAATGAAAGTATTTAAACTTCTGAAGACGAAAGCCTTACAAATCAATGATTCATTTGAAAATGTTAAGCTTCCACGTGAGATAAAATCAATGTAGTATCAATGTAATCATATCTACTATATCCGTAACTAATATTCATTATAATTTTTGTATATTGCACCAATGTGCAGGGGTAAAAAATACGAGACGAGGGCGTTAAGCACCGTAGTGGCAATTGTCAAAGCGTAACGCTCCTCCATTCATTGGCATCGGGTGTTGTTTAGCTGTCGGATAATCCGCTGCATGTTGCCGTTGATTAAAATGACACACACAACCGCTAACTTGCCCACAGTTTACCCACTGAGTGCTTAGGTTCCTGGGGGGGCCATCCAGCCAGTCGATTGTCTATAAGCCCAGGCAGCCGGCTGCAGTTTCCTGTATTTGAAGTGCCAAAAAGCACACTTTGGATCGTTCTTTTTGCGCCGTTGTGCTCGTATTATTGAGTTGTCGAGTGAGCGGTTTAGTGAGAGGATTTATGCCCGATGACGATATTTGTTTAGCCGCTTAGTTTTGCCATTTGTCCATTGTTTTGCCGGTTTTTTCATACGCTAGATATTTGTTTTATTTCCAATTCTGGCCCTGGTTTTTTAGACCAATTTCTGGTTCTGGTTCGATTGAACTTTGGCAGATGAGAGAGCATTCTTTTCTTTATTTTCTATAGAAATTTCTTTATCTACCTCAAGCTGATCAATTATTTTTTCCAAGTTATTTACCCATTTAACAATCGATTGTCAATTAAAATGTGTGACCTCTGTATGAGTGAGTGGTTATATCGTTATTATATGGTAATTGCACACAACGTGTCCCGAAAATCTCAAAACAAACAATCAAACTCAGCAGGAATATATACTGCAGCATTGTGCTAATCATTATGGTGCTTCTACCAAATAATTTTCCCTTTTTTTCCCCCCATTTCCGGTTGAGTCCTTTTGTTTTGTTCGGCTTCACCACGCCCACACACACACACATGGGAATAAACGACTGAGTCTTGGATTTGAACACCCAACTTATTACGCTACCCGACGTCGAAATTACTTAATCAAAGTTGGATTATCTGCCCGGCTCAGCGAGTAAACAGGCAGCGTCTACAAGGATGGGTTTCATTTGAATTAAAAGCGCCAACTCGACCGAAAGTCGGCAAAGCGCAGTTTGACAGCCAGCATGGGGCACTTGGCACACATATGCCAGGCCAGACTGTTATACACAGAGAGAAATTTGGGGGTCCTCCTAAGAACTACTTAATTGTATAGTAGAAACTTGTTATACACAAGTTTTGAAGTTTAAAGGAATAGAAATGTTTCTAAGTTAATAACAATCTATGTAACTATAATTCTAGTATATAGATACATATATTTAGAATTTGTTCAATTTTCACATTTCTTTCTTTGTGTATCCTTCCCGCCTTCAACTGGAACTAAATTAAATTCCATGTCTAATGCTCGTCCAGGATTAAGACCAAACAACGCCTCAACTTGCTCCGCATCATCGGCTAAGACGGGTAATATTAAATAATTTTTCCCATCTCCCAGGACACAGGACTGAGGACTCAGTACCGAGGACACAGGACGCAGGGCTCACACAACATATGGCATGAATTTCAGGAGTTCATTGTTTTGCATCGCAGTAAAGTGAAATGAAGTAGAGCGGTGCGAGCCGGCTGTCCCAACCAGGAGGACTGAAACCGAAGATTAAAGTCTCCCGTGGCGAACTTAATAATAAAAGCCCAGGACTCAGGCCAGGACTCTGGCCAGGACCCAGGCTAGGACTGTCCTCTCCTGCAACGCGAGTGTGGTGTTGGCACAAAAGTATTTAGTGGGCAGGGGCTCGGTTACGGGGTATTGGGCGCAAATCTTTTTTCGAGTGCCAGACATTAGCAGCATTAGAGCACACAGATATCATTCCTACTTATACCTATATAGTATAGATATATACATATATATATATATAGATATCCGCATGGCAAAGCCTTGCTGCGCCGAAAGCTCAAAACAGAATGCAAAACAACGGGGGAAATATGGAAGCCATGGGTTCACCAAATAACCGAAGGACTTATGTCGACTCAGGCCAAGGGATTTGAGGTGTTTGTTCCTGTCTGATGAGGGTGGAAGAAGCCGAAGCCACTGCAGTAAATGTATCTGCATTGTAAGCGCTAAATATGAAAAGCCTGCGGAGCGACTGATACTGATAATCTCGATTCGACATTGCCAACTTGTAATTATCTTTGCGGTTCGCTGGGGTATTAAGAGGTCCCACATATGTAGAGAAATGAGAAATCCGTAAGTTTAGTTTTTATAAATTAAAGCAGGGCTTAGAGATATTGGAATCCCAGATGGATTAAGTTTCCCAAAGATAGAATTTGTAGTTTAAAACAAATATATCAAGTCGTAATAAGTCTTCAATAATAAGTCGTCAGAGTTCAATCATAAAATTAGTTCTGAATTAAACCAACTCCTTCTTATAATAAAAGTTCGAATCTGCATGGGATCAAGTGACACTGAACTCGGAAACTTCCTGGGACTTGTTCGCTGCCAAAGGCTTGTGCTACTTGTAAAGTACTCAGGAGTTGAGGAAATAAGTCCAGCGCCATCGTGTGGGAATTTCAGACGTTTCATATCGCTCAGAGGAAGATTGCCATCCAAAGTGGTTTCCCTAATTTCCAGACCGCCCAAACTATCAAAGATCTGGCGGATATTAAAGCTAATCGTGCTGACCTCCGTCTGGTCCAAGAAGTTCTCCACACGCAGCAGAATCTCATCCTTGGAGTAGGGTTCCAAAGTGAGCAAATGAACCGATTCGGGTAATCCATTAAAGTCAGGCAGCGTCTTGGACACTTTCCTAAGACTTCGGTGGACTTGCTGAAGAATTTCCAGAAAGGCAAATGAATCTCCTTCTCGGCCACACGCTCGGCGGCAGTTACTCCTTCCTCGACAGCACTCAGAGAAAGGAAAAGCTTTCCCCTGGCAATAAGACCCTTTCCAAATTGCTGTTCGTTAATGGCTTCGGCAGCACCTGACCCGTCAGCAAAAATGTGACGACGATGGAGCATCATCTCCACACGTCCATTTTCCAAGCTAGTTCCACCCTGAGACCGATCGTTGAGGATCACCAATCGCCGGCTACTGTCCTGCATGGCAAACCTCGAGGTCACCGGATAAATGTTTCCGCTCACGGGCTGTTCACTGAGATCGGGAGTAAAGTCCTCCCTCTTGTCCTTTTCGCGTCTGATCATTTCACGGCCATTTGAGTCGGTGTAGAAGACTCCTTCGTTGGAAATTCCACTCTTAAAAACAGTGACTATCTCCTTGCCTAGTTCATCATCTATCGGGATGGGACCCACTAACCATTCGAATTCTACACGGTTTACGCCCTCATAGATGCGTATCACCTGGGACACATACTCGTTAAAGTTCTGATGGATTTCCTTGACCAAAAGTCCATCGTAAACGGAAAACTCAACAGGATCTTCCAGAAGTTCCAAGTCTGCATCCTGGCGGAAAATGTAATGGCAAGAACGGGCAGTTTTATACATTCCAAAGGTCTGGTCAATGCTTTCGGAAACTCCATTCATTTCAACGGTTTTCAAACGACCTGTGTTGTTATCTATAGCGAGTTTGATAAGCTGATAAGAGGTAGAATATATATTAAAAGAAAAGTTCAGTGATATATCTAAATTTGAGCTTACTGAAGTCTGCACAATTGTCTCCCCATCGTCATAGGTCCCAGCATCGCTCTTCAATAAGTGAACCTTCTTGAAGCGGTTGGGAATATCCATCTGCTGCTCTTCAACCTTATTGATGTAAAAACTACCAATCTTGTTGACAGTAGCCTTGAAAACCAACTCATGCTGCGTATCGTTGTTACGGTGCTCCAGAGCCAAAACCTGCCAGGGAACTGGCACCACCTCAGACGCCACAACTTGGCCCTTTTCATTAGTCACTGCGTAGTTTTCATTTTTCACTGGAACTCGCACATACTGCGTTGAAGTGTGTGCCAATGGGTTATACAAGGTAACAACCACATTATCCGCTCCATCCTTGGTAAAGGCACACTCGCTGATATTCAGTTTCAGACAACTTTCAAATTCGCCATTCGGTTGGTTGGTTAGAACTCTTAAAGCATCGCGGGCTGTGTTTGCTCCTCCTAAAATGGCATCATACAAAAGTCGATCGTAGTCATTGGAGACTTCCTGCTTCTCGGTTCCAGTGATGGCGTCGTGATGCTGCATCACACCCATGGTCTGACGCAGATATTCCAAGTCCTTAGTCTGCTGTTCACTGGAAAGATTAGCCAGGACACTCAGTTGTTTGGCCACTTGGAGTATGTGATTCCATCGCGTCGAATCTTTTCTGGGTAGGACGTGAGGTGAAGAAGCCGGTCCAGAAGCTCTTCGCCTCGTGGGAATGGGGAAGGAAGTCCTGGGTCTTGTTGGGCCAGCTCTGAAGACTCTTGTGTAGGGAATTTAAATAACAACCAGCCGTCGAGTAAAAGATATTAAACTTGGAGCCAGTTGCTTGGCGTTCGTTGACATACCTATTAGGGGAATTGTTATAAAGATATTGTTAAAATATATTGCACTCTTGTACTAACTTGATAAGTTTGTCCATATTCCTGTAGTTCATGTATGCATTTTCGTATTGAAAGTCATCACCCATGGGCACCATAATGTGGCTGGAGCGATAATATTTGGCCAGGTTAGTGGCATAGTTGATGAAATCATCTACCCGGGACTTGACATTATTATCGTAGCTCTTGCCATCAATAATGGGATCATCTTGGCAAAGGGAATCAAAGCAGAAGCCAGGAGGCGCCGAATAATGGTTGTAGAGCATTCCCGTGAAGAACTCTAAATCTTTCAGGGTCTCACTGGCATCCCAGATCATTTCGAGACCCAGGTTATCCACTCGCTTGTTTTTGTCATTCTGATCCATGCGGGCAAAGAACTGGCCATCGAAACCCATTTGGGCAAATATCGAAGCCTGCTCTCGAGAATGACCGAATGCATCGATTTGCCAGCCAACGCGGGGTCTTCCACAGACGCCAAAGTTGTCATTAAGGAATCTGAGGTATTATTTAAGGATATATAATCTAAAAGAATCTAAGATTTACTTTACTTACTTTAAACCCACTGTGAACTGATCAATCACACTCTGATAGTTAACAGCAGCCTCATCATTCATGCTCCAAGCTCCACCAGTGAACTCCAGGCGTCCTTCGTTTACCAACTTCTTCACCAGCTTTTTCTTAGTCTCCGACTGATCCTGCCACCACTTGGCAAAGAAGGCTGTCTCCACCTGAATGAATCGTCGGCGTGAATCCTTGGCGAGTTCAGCGACAACTGTATCGAAAATATATTGCACACCGGCATGCTGAATGCTATGCTTATTCCCATAATAGTACTGATCGGCGGTCTTCAGCCAACCCAGATCATCATGGGAGTGAGGAACCAAGTGAATGTTGATCATATTCGACTTTGTTTCAGGACATGACTAAAGGTAAACACGTTAATATTACATTTTGTAGAAAATTATAATTTCCCTTACCTCATAGCCACAAACAGCCTCAGAAGGCAAAATGTGGCAGGCACACAAGGCCACAAAAATTGCTAGAATCTTAAGGTTAGCCATTTGTTTGAGTTTGTCAAAGATCCAAGTCTAACCAAAAACTGACTTAAAAAAAAATTTCCCATTTTTATAAGCTCCTCAATGGGGGTCCTTATACTCCAAAGTTGTTTGATAACTAATCTAATTTGATAACTTCAGAGTGTTTTGAATTTGCCTATTCGAGAGGTGATTAACAAAACCTAATCATCAATGGGTCTCGAAGGGTAATTACCCTACCGCATGCATTTCATAGTTGTAAGATAATCAAATCGAACTCAGTGGCTTATCTACCTGTATTTATTATCTGGATTTGTCAAGAGCATTGCAATTCTTATCATTCAATTTCCTGATTACTTAAATGGATTTTAATTACCAATAGGCCACTTGAAGATAAGGTAACGTTTATGATTTTGAACCTTAGTCTTATCTTTGAGAAAGTGAAAGGTATACACAGAAGTGGGGCAACACAGAATAATTAAAATTTATACATTCATTTTATTTCATTCATTTAATTTACTCCGTTTTGATTACAAAAGTACGTATTTGCATGGGATACAAGGTGACAGTGAATTCAGAAGCTTCATCAAACTTATTAGCTTCCAGAGACTTGTGCGGAGCCGTGAAGTACTCGACTTCTGAGGTCAAACTTCCAGAATTCTGGGCTTGGAACTTGAAACGCTTCATCTGGCTTAATGGCATGTTGCCATCTAAAGTGGTCTCCCGAATCTCCTGGCCGCCAAGACTGTTAAAAATATGTAAAATATTAAGCTTATAACATGTCCCTCGGTTTTATCCAAAAAGTTCTCAAGGCGCAGCAAAATTTCATTCTCTGTGAAGGGCTCGAGAGTGAGTAGATGAACAGACTGAGGGAGGTCATTAAAGTCTGGAATTGATTTAGTTACTGCCTTTCCAGTATCAGTGGTCTTGCTGAAGAATTTCCAAAATGGAATAAAGAGCTCCTTCTCAGTCACACGCTCAGCTATGTATTTCCCTCTTCCACCAAGTCGAGGATCAGGTATAGTTTTCCTCGTGCAATCAAGCCTTTGCCAAATTGGGTTTCGTTCAGAGCTTCGCCAACTCCACCGCCATCGTTAAAGAACAGGCGGCGATGAAGTAACATCTCTAGTTGACCATCTTCCAAGCTGGCTCCTCCCTGAGAACGATCGTTAAGCAGGACCAACCGCTTTCTGTATCCTGCAAAGCAATGCGACTTGTCACAGGATAAAAGTTACCGCTCACAGCTTGAAGGGTCAAATTGGAAACAAAGTCCTCCCGCTTATTCTTCTCTCGTCTCATCAACTCACGACCATTGGAATCAGTGTAGTAGACTCCTTTTGAGGAAATTTCACTCTGGAAATTGGTGACAAACTCTTTGCCCACTTCTCGTCATCAGGTATGGGTCCTACGAGCCATTCAATCTCCACTCGATTGATGCCCTCATAGATTCGAATGACTTGGGAGATCCACTCATTTACATGCTGATGAATTTCCTTGACCAAAGTTCCCTCGTAAATGTGAAGTCAAAGTTGTTTTTAAAGATCTGAATGTCGCTGCTTTGGCGGAAAGTGTAAGCACAAGAAGCACGACCCAAATATATGCCAAAGTTTTGGTCTAGTTTTTCTGAGACACCATTCATCTCAAGGCTCTTCAGATAACCTGTTTCATTGTCAATCACCAGTTTTATGAGCTGTAAATAAGGAGAATTAATAATTAAGTCTTGGAAGAAGCTTAAAGTTAAATGAACTTACTGAATTCTCAACAATAGTCTCAGTGCCTTCGATAACACGTGGTTTAGTAATTGTTGTACCTTCTGGATTCTCTGATTTTTTGATATAATAATTGGCTATTTTGTTAACTGTGGCCTTAAAGACCAACTCGTGCTGAGTATTGTTTAGACGGTGATCTAAGGCCAGAACCTGCCAGGGGACTGGCATCACTTCCGAAGCAACAATGTTTCCCTTTTCATCTGTGACTTGGTAGCTCTCCTCCTTGACAGGAATACGCACATACTGTGTGGAGATATGAGCCAAAGGATTATACAAAGTCACAACAACGTTATCAGCTCCATCCTTGGTAAAAGCGCATTCACTGATGTTCAATTTCAGGCAACTTTCGAATTCTCCATTAGGAAGATTAGTTAGTTTACGAAGAGCATCCCTTGCGATATTAGTGCCTCCCAAGATGGCTTCATATAAAAGACGATCATAATCATCAGAAACTGCTTGCTTTCGGTTCCAGTTATGGCATCATGGTGCTGCATCACACCCATGGTCTGGCGTAGATTTTCCAAGTCCTTGTTATTCTGCTCACTGGATAGATTGGCCAAGACACTTAGTTGCTTGGCCACTTGGAGTATGTGATTGCCTTCACGTTCGAATCTTTTCTGGGTAGGACGGGATGTGAAGAAGCCAGTCCAGAAGCTGTTGGGCTCATGGGCATACGGAAAGAAATCCTGGGTCTTGTTTGGCCAAGTCTCCAGGCTCTGATGTAGAGAGTGCAGGTAGCAGCTTGGTGTTGAGTAGAAAATGTTGTAAATGGAACCATTTGCCTGGCGCTCGTTGATGTACCTATAAAATATTTACTTTATTAATGAAATTTGATGTTTCTTTAAAGATTATTTACTTGATTAGCTTGTCCATATTCTTGTAGTTGACCTTAGCATCTTCGTATTGGAAGTCCCCACCCATTGGCACCATTATGTGGCTTGTCAAGTAATGCTTTGACATCTCTTCCGCATAACTGATGAAGCCATCTATCCTGGACTGGACATTATTCTCAAGCTATGCCATCGATAATGGGTTGATCAGTGCAAAGAATATCAAAACAGAACCCTGGAGTATCCGAGTAAAAGTTGTAGAGCATTCCGCTGAACAGTTTAACTCCATTCAACGATTCGCTGGCATCCCAGATCATTTCCATGTCAAATCCTTCAAGCGAGTGGCCTTATCGTTGTGATCCATTCGCGAAAAGAACTGACCATCGTAACCCATATTTGCGAATATGGCAGCCTGTTCCCGGGAGTGGCCAAAAGTATCTATTTGCCAGCCAACTCGAGGACGAGCACATGCTCCAAATGTCTCATTAAGGAACCTGGAACATGTGAGTTGAAGGTGTTATTAATGTAATAAGGAATCTTTCCTTTACTTACTTCAAACCCACTGTAAACTGATCAATCACACCCTGATAGTTAACAGCAGCCTCATCATTCATGCTCCAAGCTCCACCAGTGAACTCGAGGCGTCCTTCGTTGACCAGCTTCTTGACCACTTGCTTCATGGTCTCCGATTGATCCTGCCACCACTTGGCAAAGAAGGCTGTCTCTACTTGAATAAATCGGCGTTTGGGATCTTCGATAAGCTGGGTCACTACGCTCTCCAAGATATATTGAACGCCAGCATGGTGGATCTTATTCTTGTAGCCGTAATAGGATTGATCCACTGTTTTAAGCCAACCCACATCGTTGTGGGAGTGCGGCACCAAGTGAATATTGATCATGTTTGCCTTTGTTGCTGGACATGCCTAAAGAAATATGTATATTTATAGATAGATATATGTTGTATATTGAATTAAACTTATCTGACCTCATAGCCACAAACGGCCTGTGACTGTTTTATATACACCACCAATAAGGTGGCTAGGAGAAAAAGTTGGCAGAGATTTGACATTACTAGAATTTTGCGAATGGAAATAAGAACTGACTTTCTTTTCCATTAATTTGCTGCTTATATGGCTTCCTATTCTTGGATGGCTTGATAAGCAATCAGTTGATGATCACTGTGATAAGCCAACGTACTTGAAATTAACGCTAATTAGCTAAGTTGGTACACCCATAAAAAAACTCAAGTAGATCAATGCAATTACAGGGCTCTTCAACAATACTCTTGACCTATGATCCATTTAGGAAGATGAATATGAATATACTTTTTAAAACAATGTAAAATTTTCTTAGACTATGTATTTATATCTTGTGAAAATTCTACAGGATTCCATTTATATTAATGCATTAGTTTTAATCTGAAATAAAACAAGTTTTGCCAAATCAATAAAAATAACAAATAATATTATTATAATTTTAGTCAAATGCTTGCAACCCAATGAAGGAGTCATTTCCGACCCTATAAATCATTTATATTCTGATCAGCATCAAAAGTATAATCTAGGCATTAATTTGTTTCAAAATTTTGAAAATTTTATAAGGGGTTTCGTTAAAATTTAAAAAAATTGGCAAAAATTTTCTTTTCTTAAACTTTAAATTGAGTTAGCAGATTAATTAACCAAAAACTATAATGGGAAAGCTTTTCGAATTAAAATTAATCCATTTGTGGCTGAGTTAGGAAGTTTCTTAAACTTTGATTTCTCGAAAAAATTGTCATATAATAATATCAATAAATATAGATTTAAAGAACCATTATATATAACACTTTGAATAATATATATTGCTCTGATTCCAACATATTAATAATATTGTCTTTGCTTTGTACAGTTATAAACAATAAAGAAAAAATTACTTAAGTAGTGTTGAAGTGAATTTAAAACACTTTTAAAAAAAAAATAAAAATGCATTTCAATTAATCGATTATATTCAATACATTTATTTAAAATTTATTCATTATGCCAATAATTTAGTTGTTACATTCAATAATTTACTGGGTCTTGATGATAAAAGTACGAATTTGCATTGGGTACAGGGTTACGGCGAACTCGGAGGCATCCTGGGTTCCATTGGCTGCCAAGGCTTGTGGGCCGAAGTGTAGTACTCGGGCTCAGTTCCTCTCACTCCGGAACCCTCAGCGTGGAACTTGAAACGCTTCAAGTCACTTAGAGGCAAGTTGCCATCCAGAGTAGTCTCGCGAATCTCCAATCCATTTAAGTAATCAAAGATTGGACGAATGTTGAAGCTAACAACCCTACCCTCAATGTGATCCATGAAATTCTCCACACGGAACAGGATCTCATCATCGTTGAAGGGCTCCAGGGTGAGGAGATGCACCGACTTGGGAAATCATCGAAGCTGGGAAGAGACTTGGCCACAGAGCCGCTGCTGCCATATTCTGGCTGAAGAACTTCCATAGGGGCAGATGGAACACCTTCTCAGCCTCACGCTCCACGGATGTTGATTCCTCGGCAGAGTTAGGATCAAGTAGACCTTCCCGGGCAATCAGAGGTTGGCCATACTTCTCCTCTTCAGAGCTTCTCCAACTCCATAGCCATCATCCGGACAAGGCGACGGTGCAGCATCAGCTCCAATTGTCCATCCTTCATGCTAGATCCTCCCTGGGCACGATCCGTCAGTAGGCCATCCGATTGTTGCTATCCTGCAAGGCAATGCGAGATGTGATCGGATAATAATTTCCAGAAGTTGGCTGGACGGCTAATTCTGGAGTAAAGTCCTCTCGCTTATCCTTTTCTCGCCTGATCAACTCACGACCATTGGAGTCAGTGTAGAAAACTCCATTGGATGAGATTCCACTGCTGAAGACTGTAACCACTTCATTGCCAAAGTTTTCTTCAACTGGAATGGGACCAACAAGCCACTCGAACTCTACATGTTCTTCTCCCTCATTGATACGATAACTGGGAGATGAACTCATTGTATGTCTGATGGATTTCCTTGACTAGAGCTCCATCGTAAACAGTAAACTCCACACCATCCTTTTGAATTTCAAAGTCTCCTTGGTTATACTGACGGAAGACATAGGCTCCAGAATCATAGGTTCTATAAATACCAAAGCTTTGCTCAATGTTCTCGGAAACTCCATTCATTTCAACTGTCTTTAAGAGCCTGTCTTGTTGTCGATTACCATTTGATTTGCTAAAAAGAAGTAAAAGTTAGTACAAGGAAATTCTGAATTAATAATTAATAATCCTACCGAAGTCTGGACCACAGTCTCCTCGTCGTCATGGGTCTCAGCAGCAGTCTTCATGGACTTGACTTTCTTATTGGCTTTTAAAGGCAGTTCTTTCTTCTGAGCGGACTTGGCGGCAGTTGGAACAATGTTCCTACTGGCTACCTTCTTGATGTAATAGTTGGCAATCTTATTTACGGAAGCCTTGAAAACCAGCTCGTGCTGAGTGTCATTATTGCGGAACTCCAGAGCCAGAACCTGCCAGGCAACAGGAACCACTTCAGAGGCCACGATGCGACCCTTCTCGTCGGTCACCTCATAGTTCTCATTCTTGACGGAACTCGCACATATGGTTGGTTGTATGAGCCAATGGGTTGTAAAGGGTCACCACCACGTTATCAGCTCCATCCTTGGTGAAGGCGCACTCGCTAATGTTCGTCTGCAGGCAACTTTCGAACTCTCCATTCGGAAGGTCGGTCAGCTTACGAAGGGCATCCCGGGCTGTGTTGGTTCCTCCGATGATGGCATCATGCAGAAGACGATCGTAATCATTGGACACAGCCTGCTTCTCGGTTCCGGTGATGGCATCGTGGTGCTGCATCACACCCATGATCTGGCGGAGATACTCCAGATCCTCTTTTTGCTGTTCACTAGAGAGTTTGGCAAAAGTACTGAGTTGCTTGGCAACCTGTAGGATATGGTTGCCATCACGCTCGAAACGCTTCTGTGTGGGTCGAGAGGTATAGTAGCCAGTCCAGAAGCTATTGGTATCACTGCCATAGGGGAAGAAGTCTTGGGTTTTGTTGGGATAGGACTGCACACTCTGATGGACAGAGTTCAGATAGCATCCAGGAGTGGAGTAGAAGATGTTGTACTTTGAGCCACTGGTCTGTCGCTCATTAATGTACCTTAAAAAAGAAAATAAGTCGTTAAATGAAGTATAGAAAAATTAGTAATTTTCATACTTGATTAGCTTGTCCATGTTCTTGAAATTAACTTCAGCATCTTCGTACTGGAAATCTCCGCCCATGGGAATCATGATATGATTTGTGCGGAACTTCTCAGCCACCTGGGCGGCGTAGGCAATAAAGTCGTCCACTCTGGACTTTACATTATTATCGTAGCTGTCGCCATCAATAATGGGATCGTCGTTGCAATGCACATCAAAGCAGAATCCAGGAGTGTCCCAGTAAAAGGTGTAAAGAAGTCCAGTAAAAAGCTTGACATTGTCCAAAGATTCGCTGGCATCCCAGACCATTTCCAAGGCCAAGTCATTCATACGCCTTCCCTTGTCGTTGTGATCCATACGGGAGAAAAATTCTCCATCGTAGCCCATTTGGGCGTAGAGAGAGGCCTGTTCACGGGAATGACCAAAAGGATCGATTTGCCAACCGACACGAGGACGTCCACAGACTCCAAAAGTGTCATCCAGAAATCTGTCGGTAGAGAGCAACATATTACTGAGTTTTCTATAAATAATGAAATATATGACTCACTTCAATCCAACTGTGAACTGATCAATTACACTCTGATAGTTCACGGCAGCCTCGTCATTCATGCTCCAGGCTCCGTTTGTGAACTGCAGGCGACCCTCGTTGACCAATTTCTTTACAATTGACCTGACGGTTTCCGATTGCTCGTCCCACCACTTGGAGAAGAAGGATGTTTCCACCTGGATGAAGCGACGGGCGGGATCCTTGATGAGCTCAGAGATCACAGTATCAATGATGTACTGGACTCCGGCATGCTGGATATTATTCTTGTGGCCATAGAAATACTGATCAACCGTTTTAGCCAGCCCACGTCGTCATGGGAATGGGGCACTAAATGTATATTGACCATGTTCGACTTGGTCGGATGACATGACTGCAAAAGCACTTTTTTATATCCTGTTTATTAAATGTATATCTTTATCCTCACCTCATAGCCACAGACAGCCAGAGCTGACTGGGCTTGGATTGCGAACAAGGCAGCACAGAGAATGAAGCCTAAGTATTTCATTTTTAAAACCCAGGTCTAAAAATCGATGAAACAAATGACTCGGAGTCGAGTCCACAACTGATTCCTTTGCATTCATTCACAGCCTTATATACGGGTCTTTGAAGTCATTGATAAGCAATCGGTACTTGAGTTTATTTGGTTTAAAAGAACTCAAGCATGCTTAAAATTCAATTAGCTATATTTCAGCGATAATTGAACGATTAGAAGTTGATCGCAGAAACCATAACAAAATGTACTATTCTTGAACTACTTGTCATATCTTAATAAGCCTTTGCGGGCTTATCTTAAGATTATCATAATGATTTTGGTTCAAGAGCATATGAATGCACTACTCTCAACTAGGTGGGTTGCCAAGGAAAACTTCATAGCATTAAGAGTAGGGATGTATACTAAGATTATTTTAAAGTAATGCTTTTCGAAGTATTATTGATAACAATCAATACTAATTATTAATTATGCAGAAATTTATATGTATTATCTAAATAATAATTCATGAATTTCCAACTTTTACTACCCATGCCAATTGTATAATCATAACAAATTTCCAAATTTTGAAACTACTGGTCATTGATATTGATATTGATATCTTAATTAGCCTCTATATACATCAGCTTCTGTTTTGATGGAGCTGCAGTGCTTATCTGTAGATAAGAGAAAATGATTTTAATAGTCGATTGCACATTAACATTTCTAAACCTGTTTATGGATTTGTACCGGAATTAATCAACCGCTATCAAAGCCTAATATAAACAGTAAATTGAAAGTGTAAGAATTAAAGCCCCACGCAAAGTGCAAGTGACGAGATATCATGGAGTACTAATTGTAATGACCAATTAAACCAAGATCAACAAAACACTTATGTCGACCTGGTTATTACCAATAACAATTGGCTAAGAGATGTTAATACTTTAATATGTTATTTTTAAAAGTATATATATTTTAGCTTTTATGTTATTATATCAATAGTTGGTCAGAACATCTATACAGTTTTAAATTTCGTCGCAACCTTAAAAAATAATTTCATATTTATGTATATGTGCGTTCTATTTTAATTACATCATTAAGTTTAGTTTAAGTTATGGAATAGGAATTACAGAAAGAATTATTTTTACTGAATTTAAAATAGTTGTCTCATATTGTTTACAAGTTAAAAGCACACCGCCAAAAACAATATAAAGAACACGAATACCTACACTTGCAAACTATTATAATATTAATATAATTGTAATCACTAGCTCTATGACTATGACTCGCTCCCGCTTCCTTCGCTCTCCCTCTCATTGCATCTCAATCGTTGCATCTCTCTCTGTGCATGATATCAAATGATAGCTCTTTCTCTCTCGCTCTCATATTCTCTGTTCTCTTTCCTCGCGGACTATAAATAGAGGCACTTCACTCGCTCCGGCCTCATTCTGTTCGACGCCCACCTGCTGTTCACATCTATTGTGATGGTGATAGTGATAGTCATTGTGTTTACCCTTTGACTCCAAAAATATGACGTGGCCTATGTAATCCATCTGGATAAACAGGAAGCAGCTCATTGATGATACTATGAGGAGCCTATGGGGTAAGTCCTAATATGACAATTATATTATGTATTATGTATCATGATCAGGCTCAGCTGTGCTACCTATGCTTTTATTTTCTAATTAATTTAATTATTGCCATTACTTAATTTTGTAACTTTGTAAAAATTTTGATATACTCAAATATAAGAGCCTTAATTAAATATAAATTACTGATTTTAATTTTTGGGATTGATTTTATTCATTTAAATATTTTACATCTCTTTAAATACTGTATATCTCGGTGAGAACTTTTTGTTTATTCCGTCTTGATGATGAAAGTACGATCTGCATGGATGTAGGGTGACGCTGAACTCGGAGGCTTCCTGGGATTTTCAGCAGCCAAGGGCTTGTGGGCGGCAGTGTAGTACTCAACGGCATCCGGCCTGCGACCACCGTTGTCGTGGAGGAATTTGAAACGTTTCATGTCACTCAGAGGCAGGTTGCCATCCAAGGTGGTTTCACGAATCTCCAGCCCATTCAAGTAGTCAAAGATCGGGCGAATATTGAAGCTAACCACCTTGCCTTCGGTGTGATCCAAGAAGTTCTCCACACGGAGCAGAACCTCATCATCGTTGAAGGGCTCCAGGGTGAGCAAATGCACCGACTGGGGGAAGTCCTCGAAGCTGGGCACCGCTTTGGGCACAGAATTGGTGCTTCCCGAATTCTTGCTGAAGAATTTCCAGAAGGGCAAATGGATCTCCTTCTCGGCATAACGTTCACTGGCCGTGGACTCATCGGCGGGGCTGAGGATCAGGTAAACTTGCCACGGGCAATCATTGGTTGGCCATACTTCTCCTCGTTCAGGGCCTCTCCAACTCCGTATCCATCATCGCGGACAAGGCGACGGTGCAACATCAGCTCCATCTGACCATCCTGCATGCTGGCTCCTCCCTGGGCACGATCATTAGCAGGGCAATGCGTTTATTGCTATCCTGGATGGCCATGCGAGAAGTGATGGGATATAGTTGGCGGCAGTTGGCTGCCTATCCAGACCAGGAGTAAAGTCCTCGCGCTGATCCTTGACACGCTTGATCATCTCACGGCCGTTGGAGTCGGTGTAGGATACGCCATTGGAGGCAACAGTGCTGTTGAAAATGATGACAACTTCCCTGCCAAACTCCTCTTCCCTTTCATGGGGCCAACCTGCCACTCAAACTCCACCTTGTTGTCGCCCTCATAGATGCGAATAGTCTGGGACACATAGTCGCTGAATGTCTGGTGGATTTCCTTGACTAAAGCTCCATCGTAAACAGAGAACTCCACGCCCTCATCCTGGACAATAAAGTCGGCCTGTGATACTGCCGGAAGACATATGCGCCAGAGTCATAGGTCCTGTATACACCATAGCTTTGATCAATGTTCTCGGAAATTCCGTTCATCTCAACGGTCTTCAGGAGACCTGTCTTGTTGTCAATCACCAGTTTGATTTGCTAAAAGAAAGTAAAGGTTTAGTAATACAAACAAAAGAAAATAATTATATGCTACTAACGAGGTCTGCACCACAGTCTCTCCCTCTTCGTCAAAGGTTTCGGTGGCGTTCTTTAGAGAGTGAACCTTCTTGAATCGTTTGGGAACTTCGGCAGACAAATCTTCGGACTTTTTGCCATGACTGGGCTGAACGACTGTCCTGCTCTCAGCACTATCAATCTTTTTGATGTAGTAGTTGCAATCTTGTTAACAGAAGCCTTAAAACCAGCTCGTGCTGAGTGTCATTGTTGCGGAACTCCAAAGCCAGAACCTGCCAGAAGACCGGAACCACTTCGGAGGGCACCACACGGCCCTTCTCATCGGTCACCTCGTATTTCTCATCCTTAACAGGAACTCGCACATACTGCGTGAAGTGTGGGCCAATGGTTGTACAAAGTTACCACCACGTTGTCAGCTCCATCCTTGGTGAAGGCGCACTCGCTAATGTTCATCTGCAGGCAACTTTCGAACTCTCCATTCGGAAGATTGGTCAGCTTACGAAGGCCATCGCGGGCAGTGTTGGTTCCACCCAGAATGGCATCATACAAGAGACGATCGTAGTCATTGGACACAGCCTGCTTCTCGGTTCCGGTGATGGCATCGTGGTGCTGCATCACACCCATAATCTCTCGGAGGTATTCCAGATCTCCTTTTGCTGCTTGCTCGTGAGCTCGGCAAAACACTGAGTTGCTTGGCCACCTGCAGGATGTGGTTGCCATCACGCTCGAAACGTTTCTGGGTGGGACGAGAGGTAAAGTAGCCGGTCCAGTAGCTGTTGTCATCACTGCCATAGGGGAAGAAGTCCTCGGTCTTGTTGGGCCAGGTCTGGAGACCCTCGTGCACGGAGTTCAGGTAGCAGGCGGGGGTGGAGTAGAATAGATTGAAGGTGGAGCCCTCGGCTTGACGCTCGTTGACGTACTTGATCAGCTTGTCCATGTTCTTGAAGTTAACCTGGGCATCTTCGTACTGGAAATCATCACCCATGGGAATCATAATGTGGTTGGATCGGTAGTGCTTGGCCACCTCCGTGACATAGCTGAGGAAGTCATCCACACGGGACTTGACATTATTGTCGTAGCTCTTGGTATCGATAATCGGATCGTCTCCGCAGTGCACATCGAAGCAGTAACCGGGAGGAGCCGAGTAATGACGGTACAGCAAGCCAGTGAAGATCTCATCGTTGGTCAGCGAATCACTAGCATCCCAGATCATCTCCATGCCCAAGTTATCGATGCGGTTATTTTTGTCACGGTGATCCATGCGGGCAAAGAACTCGCCATCATATCCCATCTGAGCAAAGATCGAGGCCTGCTCTCGGGAATGACCAAAGGGATCAATCTGCCAGCCGATGCGGGGACGGGCACAGGAACCGAAGGTGTCATCCAAGAACTTCAAGCCAAGGGTGAACTGATCGATAACACTCTGGTAGTTGACGGCAGCCTCATCGTTCATGCTCCAGGCACCACCAGTGAACTCCAGACGACCCTCATTCACCAGTTTCTTGACAACTTGCTTCACGGTCTCCGACTGCTCAGCCCACCACTTGGCAAAGAAAGAGGTCTCCACCTGGATGAAGCGACGAGAGGGATCCTTGATGAGCTCAGAGATCACAGTATCGATGATGTACTGGACTCCGGCATGCTGAATGTTGCTTTTGTGGCCATAGAAATACTGATCAACAGTCTTTAGCCAACCGACGTCGTCATGGGAATGGGGAACCATGTGAATGTTGATCATGTTCGATTTGGTTTTGGGACATGCCTGGGAAAGGATTTTTAAGAATTAGTTTAGTAATTTTGTAAGTTAATCACTTTATAAAGTTTAAAATTAATTGCAATTTTTTGAAGTAGTTTTTTCACAGTTGAAAATTAATTATAGAGAACTTTTTTTTCATTTATATTTTGTTATAACATCCTGATAGTATTATCCTTGTTTTTTTGCACTCCTCACCTCGTAACCACAGGCCTCCTCTGATGGCCTAATACTGAGTGCCAACAGGGCGACAAAGA